GGACTGAGTCTACCAGGTTGATCGCAGTCCTCCGGGGAGGATTTGCCCTGGAGGAGGTGGGAATGGGGGTGGGCTGGGGGGAAGGGGAGGGGGTGGGAGGGGGGAGAATAGGGGAACCTGTGGCTGATATGTAGAACTGAATGGTATTGTAAAATAAAATAAATAAAATTTAAAAAAAAATTCACATCATATATTTGTAGACAAAAAAAAGAAAAAAGTCTTAAACAGCCTTCAAAGCGTCTTCTAAACTGAAGTCTGAGACTAAGCCAGTGGACTTTGAGACATGAGGGCTGTTGATGACCTTGACGAGGGAAGATTTGATGGGGGCTAGGAAGCTAAGGTCTATGATAGGCAGCCTCCAGGATGGTGTCCAATGATCTCAGCCTCCTGGTATTCAAAGCCTTTTGTAGCCCTTTCCCACATGGACCAGAGTTTACGTATCTCACCAACAGAATGTAGCAGTACTGATATGTTGCTTCTGAGGTTGGGTTATAAAGAGTGTGTGGCTCCTGTTTTGTGCTCTTTCTCTTTCTCTTGGATCCTTTGCTCTGGGAAAAGCCAGTTGCTGTACTGATGAGAACTTCCAGCAGAGTCTGAAGAGGTAGGTCATTTGGTAAGGAGCAAAGCTCACTGGCTAACAGCCATCGGTAGCTCACACCTGCCAGTAAGTGCCCTTCATGTGATGTTAGCTCTCGATGATAACTTCACTGAAAATTCATGAGACCTCGAGTTACATGTACCTAATCAAGCCTCTCTCAAGATTCTAAATCATAAATGATTACCGCCAAGTGGAAGGCTAGATGGAAGATCTATGGCCCCTGCCCATTTGATATTCAGAGACCCGCCCTTACTGTTCTAAGATGGCTGGTATATGTTTTGCATTGAGAGTTCTGTAGCTCCTCATCTCTCTATCTGAATGAGCTTTCTGGATCAGACTTTAAGAAGATCCAAGCATAAAGTTCCTTTGCTCTGATCACCATTTAAAAACCATGATTGCAAAGAGCTACAAAGACGTGTTATATAAGGACAATCCTCTCAGCCCTACACTAGGTTATGGGCACTCTCAGGAGAAGGAACCCATTGCTTTAACTTATACTTCATTCACATGACTATGCATATCAGTAGAATAAAATTAATTTAATCAGAATTTATGTCATAGATTATATAATTTATAGTCCAGGAAAGAGCAATCTCACAGTGAAAATTATGGTATCTCTTTAAAAAAAAAATTTTTGAGATATATTTATGCATCTTTATGGGGTACCTTAAGGTGATTTGATATATGCAAGTCATGTATGATAATCAAATAAAGATAATAAGCATTTCTATCTGTTTAAATACTCTTTTTAGGTGTGGGGAAATTCATACTTTCCTAGTCATTCTGAAATATATTAAAGAATATTTTAACTAATTGCTAACCTACCATGGTATATACAAAACATAATTTTTCCTCTTTTCTTCCTCTTAATTGGATTTCTCTTTGTTGTCCCATCAGTCTCACAGTCTTCCCAGGCTCTGATGCCCACTGTTCCATCCCATTCCTCTGCAAGATCAAGATACACAAATAAGTGAGAGGAAGTGGTATTTCTCTTCCGTGCCTGGCTTATCGAATTTAACTAATGACCTCAAGTTCTGACCACGTTCGTGAGAAGGACAGAATTTCATTCTTGAGCATTGTTTAACCCAAGAACTTTAAAGTACACCTTAACACCTAGTCTTCTGGTTGTTTTAGCTTTAAAGAATATTTATGTTTCTATGAAAATGTCATCAAAGTTGATAGGAACATGGCCAATACCTTGTATACCTCCAAGGGCATATTAACATTGTGTGCTGCCTAGATTTCTGTAAGGCAACAGTCTTCAAATGCAAGAGGCAGGCAGGACTATGGTTTACTGTGTAGAGCTTTCCTGTGTAGGAGGATAGAAAATTCTGGAAATGAATGGTTGACCAGGTGATGGTTACACAAGATGGAGGGTGTACTTAAGCCCCCTAAGATCACAGAAGAAGCAACTAGCTAGTATCAAATGCTAACTTGTTAATTAATGCTGCATATGGAACAAATAGAGAACCCTGAGAGAGATGGTGTTGTTACACTGAGTCCTCAAGTGTGGCCAAGAGTTCATTGACAGATCCTGGGCATCCCTGGTATTACCTTAGAAGAGCTTGCCCCGTGCCTTTTCTGGTCCAGATGACACCATCCATAGAGGAGAAGATGAATCTGGAGGAGAATATCAGACAGTTGAAAGTAAGGGCATTGCCTGAAACCATGAGTGTGGTTGCTGGTGAAGGAAGAGCAGATGACTCAGAGGGAAACTGCAGACTAACCATGCTGGATGGGGGAAAATGCCCAGCTCCTAGAAGCCAGCCAAGCAACAGACAAGAATCATAGACCAGGAAAGAAAATGACTCTGAAGTCACCTCGAAACCCCTTTTCCTGACAACACTCTAGAGGCCCAACTCCATTCCTGCAATGGAGAAATTGGGGTTATACAATGGGTGGCCTACTTCTTGGGAACTCATTATAATCAACTGCTTTGAGCAGTAATTATAAGCCTTACAGGAAGGGGAGAGTTTCTATGGAGATACCAGGTTCAGGATACAGTTGTTGGTATGGCACTACCCTTACATGTATAAGGCCCTAATCACCATACAATATAAATCAAGTGTGGTGGTGACACATTCCTGTAATCTCAGTGCCCAGGAAGCAGAGGCAGAAGGATTAGGAGCACAAAGTCACTCTTGGCTACATAAGGAGCTAAAGGCCAGCAAAAAAGATGTAACTCATCCTGCTGTCCCCAGTTAGGTACCCCCGAAGATCAGTGTTGCATTGTTCTGTCTGGAGACTTTTATAATGTGGACACACCCAAACAGAAATAGGTTTTGTCCAAGGAACTCCCCTTTTCAGAAGCACCACTTCACGGTGCTTATCACGGGTTTATCTGTCAGGCATCACTTTTGGGAGATGAGCTCAGTATATCACCAGTGGTTGATTCGGATTTCATTACAGCAACAGAACTTAAGACCAACAACCTATGTCTTTCTAACACAGATTTTATTGTACTGCATGATTTTGGTGTACTACCAAAATCTGTCTGTCTGTCTATCTATCTATGTATCTATGTATGTATGTATGTATCTATCTATCTATCTATCTATCTATCTATCTATCTATCTATCTTTCTCTCTTCACTCTCTTCCACCTGTGGCCAAGTAAGGGTGAGAGGAGAGAGTAGGCACTGCACATGCGCACTTCAGTAGTGAGGGTCTTGTTCCTGAGGATGGGAGAGATTCTCCATCTCACTGAAATGGATTGTGCCTCTCTAGATTCAGTTATCTACCCTGCAGCAGACAGACAGACCCATAACAAGATGTCTTTTCTTTCTCTGTTCTTGTGGGAAGGTGGGAGGGTGGGCTCTTGGCAACCTAGCCAAACCTGGCAAAGAAGTTGTAGCCCTCTTGCCTCATCCCCTTTGGAGTTGGGATTACAGGCATGTGCCACCATAGTCCCAGATTCCTATTCAAAACTCTTTTTATAAGAGCAGCACTATCCTTTGAGTCCCAGGGGAGAGTGGGTTCTGATCCTCTGCCTGGACAGATGACAGCCCTCACACTATGCGTGAGGGGAACAGTGTCTGCACCTGGGACAGCATGCCAGTGTCCAGACTTCTGGAAACTTACCCAATGGTTGGTGGGTGGACCTGAGTGGTGTGGACAACAGTCATTGCTGTGGTGACAAATTAGCTGGGGCCTGGGAGTGGCAACATGGGCCTGCTTCCTTCTGGTGAGCATCTAGCCACTGACCTGGAAATGAGACTTTGAGCCATCAAAGGAGGATGGCTTATGAAACCAGGTCATGGGGCTACTGGACAGATGAGGCTAAACAGATGTTCTCTCTGTCCTAGAGAAGACATGGTATCCATGGGGAAAACATGGATTCTACTCACCTTCCTTTTACTAGACCCAGAAGGTTCATTTGAAAGATGGTGATATTAAACTAAGTCGAATCAGCCATCCCATGAAGAGACTTCCTATATTTTTGAACTGTATATTTATGCTAAATCCTATGGCAATCTTCCAGGTGAACTTTGTAATCAAGTTACAGATAAAGAACTGAGGGAGCTAGAGAGATAACTCAGTGGTTAAGAGCACTTACTACTAATCAAGAGGGCTGAAGCTTGGTTCACAGTGTCCATATAACAAGCTGGGTGTTGGGTGCATGCCTATGACCCCAATTATGGAGGCAGAAACAAAATGGTTGCTGGGACTTGCTTGAGATTCAGTAATTCTAAGTTGCCTGAGCCATAAAACCAAAACCCAAATTCAACACATTATTTATCCATCACTGAATAAATAAAATATGGCATACTCATGCATACATATCAACTGACAATAAAAAAAGAATGACTATTAATAAGATGCTACAACATGAATAATGCTTAAAGAAACTAGGCTAGAGAAAGAAACCTGTCATAAAAGGCCACATACTAGGTGGTTCCATGTGTTTAAAATACACAGACAAGGCAAAGCTGTCAGATCTGGTCAGTTCTGAAGGCTACATCCTCTTCATGATGACATCAGTATGTGGCCTGGAATCCTAGACCCAAGTCCATCTAGGCAGTAATGCAAAAAAAGGAAGTGTGCTTCTGGGCCAAGGAAGGACCCTACTCATCTCTATGCCCAGAGCACAGACTCCAATGGCCATAGTAGGAAAGAAGCAAGCTCTGCTTCGTGAGCCAGGGGAGAGTCCCTCCCCCAGACCCAGGTCACTTGGATCATCCTGTGTTTATTCTGGCTCCCCTCCTTCTCAATTTCCCCACAAAGGCCTTTGTGTAAGAGGGTTTCCCTTCTAGTTCAACTTCGAGAATGGTGTCACTGATGAGGGCCCATGGGGATCTCTCTGGGCATTTGTTTTTGTTGACAGGAAGAATTAGTTATGAGTCATTATTCCCTCAAAGCAGTATCTCAAAGAGCAGGGAAGACACGTCAGGAGGGAGCTTTGCAGATCTGGCAGCGTCTGGGGTCATTCCAGAGAACCATGGCAGCTCTGGGGTCACCAGCCAGAACCTTCACAGGAATGTCTGGTCCATCTGGGCCAAATCACTTTTTTTTTTTTTTTTTTTTTTTTTTTTTTTTTTTTTTTTTTTTTTGGTACTAGAAGGTTAGTACCCAGAGTAGGAGGCTCAAGTTGGACCACAAGCTGAACAAAAATGAGGATTACAGGCTGGGAACAAATAATCCAAGTCTCATTCCTTGAAGGTGAATATGGCACAGCCAAAAGACACTGCCTAATGGCCAGTGCAGAAGAGGAGTCAGAGCCCAGGACAGGTGAGGGATGACCAGAAAAGCTGCTCGTGGGCTGAGCCTCAGGACCTTTTTCAAGGCTGGAAAAGTTGAAGCAACTTTAGCTCCAAGTGTCTTTGGAGGGCACACCAAAGCCTGCACAAACTTTAAGAAGACAGAGCTGTGTGTGTCACAATTGAGCATTCTTTGTCCGTGGCATACATCCTTTTCAACCTCTCTCTCATGCAAGGCACCATGCTGTGCACCAAGACAGCAGAAGGGACAAAGCCAATCTGTCCTCATGGAGCTTATATCCTGGTGCCTAACTCCGGCTGCACAACAAAGCTGTTTTGGCAGGCTCCAGCCCCTCTCACGGCTTACCCTAGGACTCTTTTTCTAGTCAGGGACAAGCTGAGGCTCCAGAAACGTCCCAGAATGGCTCTGGATGCTGATCCTGCCTCTCATCATTCTCATTCAGAGACCCAGGTCAGCCCCTTGAAAGAATAGGCTAGTCCACAACTTTACTGTACCTGGTTAAGAAAGATAGTTTGAGGTGGTCACACGAGCAGGGATCATGGAACCCACAAAGCTTGAACTCGAACCTCAGCTCTGCCCCAGCTAGCAGTTTTCTCGGGCCTGTGCCATCATCCTGTCAGCCCGGACTCTTAGTCCCTAGGCACAAGCTCCACCTGCTCACAGGAAGCCCTGAGAGGACCTGTCTTGTGGGTTCTGAAATATGCTTTTTACTTTTCATATTAAAAAAAACAAAAAAAAAAACCAAAAAACCCTCTGGCCTGGGGCTGGAGAGATAGCTCGGCCATAAAGAGCACTCCCTGTTCTTATAGAAGACTCTGGTTCAGTTCCCAGAACCGACATCATAGCTCACAACTTTCTGGAACTCAAGTTCTAGAGGATACAATGCCCTCTTCTATCCTGTTTGAGTATGCATGTGGTGCACATACATGCATGCAGATGACAGACACTTGTGCACAAAACAAAAATAAATATTTTTTAAAAAACTGGGGTATGTAGCTCAGTTGGTAGAGTAGCACGCGCACAAAGCCCCGAACCCTATAAAGCCAAATAAAACCAGGTATGGTGGGGCATGCGATATTCAGAAATTCAAGGTCATCCTCAAGTTTGAAGCAAACCTGATCTGCACGAGACTCTTTACCAAAAAAACAAACAAACAAACAGAAGTAAAAACTCAGACACTGCGATCTAAGGATTGGAACTATCTTTATTTGCTTTTATTTTTATATTGGAGGAGGTTGCTCGCTGCTGTTGCTGCTGTCTGAAAGAGCATCTTGCTATGTCGCACAAGCCAGCCTCCTATTCACTGGGTGCCATGCCCTCCCTCCCAGGATGCAGCTCAGACTCACCAGGAACTTGTGATCCTCCTGCTTCCACCTCCCTGGACCTTGAAGAAAATATCTTTAAAGTAACACTAGCCGTGGTGTGACTGGGTCTGGCAGTGGGAGACGACGGAGCAAGGGCTGCAAAGGCAAAGAGGAATCTTCTTGGGGTGATGCCACCCCTTATCACATGTCCCTGATGGTTCTAGTGTGTTTTCACACACAGAAGTTTATCAAGTTATCAACTTTGAAGAGACTGACTCACTGCCTACTTCGCTCAAGAGGCTCCTAAACTGTCAAATTTAAATTTCAGCCATTTGATGATAAACACTGTCAACTTGACAGGATCTTTATTCATCTAGGATTAATGAATAATAATTAATAGGTTAATCATTAGTTTAACCTCTGCACGTCTGTGAGGAGTTTCTCGACTGGGCTAACTGGGATAAGAAGCCTTACCCTAAATGTGGGTGGCACCACCCTCACAGACAGAGGTCCTAAACTGAATAAAGAAGGAAAGGTGAATGGAGCGCCAGCACTCATCCTTCTCTGGTTCCTAACTAAAGACACAATGCCACCAGCTGCCTCGGACTCCTGTGTGAACCAGAATAAACTCATCCTTCTTTAAGTGGCTTTCATCAGGCATTTTGTCATAGCTGTGAGAAAAGTAACTAATATAGACCATTTATTATATGATAATTCAACAGAGGTGTTTTCCAAAAGAAAATAAAAAGGAAGGAAGGGAGGGAGGGAGGGAGGGAGGGAGGGAGATTGATTCTAACCCAGGGCTTTCTTACTCACAAAGTCATCATCAAAAACAGATCTCCAAATGAATGGTATGTGCAGAGCGCCCAGCTTGGTAACAGGCCTCTGGTGGTGGAGGGCACAGAGAGCCTTTTCCTTCATTTTGTCTCACACCAGCTGCCTCACAGAGGCGCCTGGCATCATGCCACCCCTTGGTCTTGACATCACACAATGCCCCCAGAGATATTTCACAATCGCTCTGCCCCTTTTGTTCTATCTGTCCTTATAAGTAGGTACAGGCTGGGCCTGCTCGGCCTGTTTTTTCTTACACAGATAAGGAAACGGAGCCAGAGAGAAAGGTTGGTAAACTTTCACTACGTCACTGCTGAGTCAAGGCAGAAACAAGTAACTGACGTTTGCCCCCCTCCAGCTGCCTAAGGTCTAGGACTGGCCTGGTGGGTTAATGATGTTCCAATGAAGCACCCCAGAAACACTTGTGTGAGGAGCCAGTCCCCTGCCTGTGTGTCCACAGCCACCACCCTCATGACAACACACAGGCCTCTGCCTGCAGCTACTGTGTCTAACTTTTTTTTTTTTAATAGTTGCTGCTTTCTGGACTTGGTTATATCAGATTATTGGCCCCAATTCTGGAGTCGGTTCTCTCCTTCCATCCCTGAGATCAAACTCAGATCCTCGGGTTTGACAGCAAGTGTCTTTATCCTTAGAGCCTTCTCACCCACCTAGGACCACCACGTTTTGAAGCAGAGACACAATTTCTCCCTAGCGGCACCATTTCATCATTCTTTCTGGAGGAATGAATCAATAACCCTGGGTTAACTCTGGAAACAAGGTTGTCATGTTCCATGTCACAGGGTATGCACTGCACAGCTTCACAGTCCCACGGATCTGTGCCTGGAGAGTCACTGTGACCTTAATGATTTCATAGGATAAGCAGGCCTTAGAAATCTCTTCGCATTATAGGCAAAAGGAGAGAAACATGTGGACTTATCCACAGCCAGTGCCAGAGACGACAATGTGTGGCAACCAGTTCGAGCTTGACCTGAGAAGCAAGTGGCCTAGTTCTAGGCCTGGCTCAGCCAGTAACTTGCTGTTTGGCCTTTGGCCAGATCCTTAGTCACACCTTCCCACCATCGTATATCACACAGCTAGAAGTACTTTGGAGATTTAATACATATAACTAAAGTACTGTGAATCAATATTTGTGTGTGTTCATGTAGATGCACATGCAGGCGTGTGTGCATAGGTTCAGGTACCAGAAGACAGACTCACGTGTCATACCTCAAATACCATTCACCTTGTTTTTTGAGTCAGGGTCTCTCACTGGCCTGAAACGCACTAACTCACCAGGCTAGGCTGGCTGACCAGGGAGCCCAACAGCCCCTTCCATCTTCATCTCCCCAGCACAAAGACCACAAGACCATGGGCCACATCCAAGTTCTTACCTGAGTGCTGGAGAGCCAAGGCTGGGGCCTGCTGCTTTCATAGCCAGCACTTTATTGACTGAGTCATCTTCCCAACCTCATGAATCACCATTTTAAAAGCTTAAAAACGGACTGGAATCAAGGACCATAGAATTCCCCTCTGGACATTCATTCCACGAGTCTCTGGTATAAAGGTTAGGACTGGGCCCGGTGGGTCCTCGAGTGATGGGAATGGGAAAGGAAGCTGCATGTTGAGTGAGCCTCACCCAAACTCTTTAAGAACAGGGAGGCAAAGACACACCCTTCTGCTTCTGGGTACTGTTCTGTTTTGTTTTTCTTTTTGTCTCACTCTACATCAGAACAAACAGGTTGTTTTGAGTTTAATGGAACCTGACTCCTCCAATTTTTCTATCTCCTTCTTCTGTATGAGAAGAAAGATAAAGGGGTAGGGAAACAGGGAGAGATACCTTTCTGTCTAGGGTTGTCATGTTCCTTTGAAGGGCTCACAGCCTTGGTTTTGGCAAACTGGAACCTGACTTGCACTGCTCTGGTAAAGTAGCTTTCTAAAGACCTCCCCTCAACCAGGTCTGCTCTAAGTGCACGAAGAGGAGAGGCAGGAGGAAGAGGGAAGTGTAGAATGGGAAAGGAAGGAGAGCAGGTGTGACGGGGCCACACCTAGCACTCACGTGGCATTTGCTGTGGCTGACCACACTAGGTGTCAGGGAGGCACCGGTCCTGCTCAACGCCCTTTGCTCCATTGATTTATTAAGTTTACTCATGGCCTTCCGCCCAAGGAGGAAAAGACCCTGCCCCCTTTTCAGGATGAGGAAATGGAGACCACCTGAGGACTGCGCCTAAGGCCACACAAACAAGGAAAATCCTGTAAAGCCTTTGCCCTTCTGTCTTCTTCTGCCTTCTTCTCCAAGACGTCCCCACCTCCATGTTTCCTTCCCCTGTCCCCCAGAATCAAGATCTGTCAAGTAGGCAGTTGAACAGCCAGGCCTGAGGTCCCAATTCAATCACCATAGGCAGGCTGACATCTCCAACTGAAGCAGGAATCAGCTCTATGACCTCAGGTCATACCTCCACTCCAAGCTGTAGGATTCATTCCAAGAGACTAGAAAGAAACCTCAATCCATTCTTCCCCGCCCCTAGTCTACACAGGCATGTACACACACACTGCCATACAGACACACTCATGCAAGACACACATTCTTGCCTCTTCATGTGAGGGAGATAAAAACCCACATAAGCACCTCCCAGGAGCCAAAGAGTTCTATCTTAGGGTGATATCTGGTCTATACACAACTCCCAGTTCATTCAGGGTGAGTAATGATGGGTGTAAACTCTGAGGGTGAATCGGGGTGTTAAGGTGGAGGCATGAAGTCAGTTTAATGCAATTTCCTATCAGTCAGTAGGTTACCTAGAAATAAGGAGGCAGGAAGGACAGCATTTTCTTTTAGATTTATTGATATTGTTTTATGAGTATAAGTGTATTATTGACATGCATGTATGTGTACCTCATGCTTGTCTGGTGCCGAGAGGTTGAAGACCTGGAATTGGAGTTACAGACAGTTGTAAGCCTCCGTGTGGGTGCTGGGAAACTGAAGCTAGGTCCTCTGCAAGAGAAGCAAGTACTCCTAACCACTGAGCAATCTCTCCATCCCAGGAAGGATGGTCTTATTTATGCTCATGTTTGATGTAGTGTTTTCTGACTTTTCCTTGGTTGGTAGCTGTCAGTTGTACCAACCTCCCTCAGACCCACCAAGTTCATAGCCACACTACACCATAAATGCACACGCACACACTAGCAGCAGCACTGACTTGAGGCTCCTAGTCACCATAATACTGAAGAGACAGATAACAGAGACACTGCTGTCATGACAACCAGCATCTACAGAACACCTAATATCATACTGATGTCTTTCCGTGGCAAAATTGAAAATTTCTGCTTAATTTTCGCAACCCAACAAGGTAGAGCCTGCTAACAATGAAAACCGTAGAATTCAGTTTAAAAAGAGCTCAAGTTGAGCAAAGACAGACGGTTGAATCTGACAGCACAGAACCAGAAGAGGCTCCGCTGGGCCACGTGGGCAGGAAATGGGGGTGGAGACAAGGCAGAAGCGAGGCGCAGAAGCAGCTTAATTGGTTCTGGCTCCATCTTCTCCTTATTTGAACAGAGTTGGATCAGTTGCCTGTCATGTGTGGCTGAAGCTCAGCTGCTGTGATTGGCTGAGACTCAGCTACTTGCTACCAAAGGAAACTCCAACATTAGGCTTTGGTTGACTTCTTATCAAATTTGGTTTCAGCTCCTTATGGAGAGACTCAGAATGTGGAAGCATGGGTCTTTCTGCCCAATTATGTTTAATTTAAAGCACCATCACCCCCATTTTCCAGATGAGAAAATTAAAGCTGGGATCGACATGTTTCCAGAGCAAGCCAAGAGCCCAAACCAAAAGCAGCTCCCTCCCTTGCCACAAAGCCTTTACCACTGTCTACTGTGACGCCACAGTTCCCTTGTATTCTGAAGTTAATGCTCTCCATCTGGCCCTGTCTGGGCCCAACCTGGAGCCTATCCCTGCCCCAGTCCCTTCTCCTTTTCCTTCTGATCTGGCCTCCACAGGTTTCTGTCGGCACTGTGCTGTTGTACTGGGCAGCAGTAGCAGGGTGGGAGACAGAAGAAGACTTCTCTCCTAGCTGGTCTCTCATTTCCCAAATAGTCTCTGGGGATCTGAAAGATATATGCACTGGCGAGTGGAGAAGGGTGTGGTTGACATCCCTCTCCAGATCTGGAAGAATGTGTCTTCCCATGGCTAAAGAAACTGAGGATGGAATTAAGTGAAGGCTCCAGACATGTGAACATGACCCTGAATGATCAGAGATCCTCCTGACATACAGGTAGGGATCAGAGTTAGAAGCAGGAATGAGTGAGGAGAGGAGAAATTTGAAGAAAAGCTCATAGCCAAGAAGAGCATAGCTTCTAGAAGCTAAACAAGAGCAGTTACCTCTGAAGCCTCCAATGAAGCTATCTCCAAATACAATCCTGCCCATACCTCGATATAGGGCTTCTTCTATTAAATTTATTATATGTTATCATCGTCATCATCATCATTATTGTGTGTTCAGGTATGGGTGTGCACATGCCACAGTGCACAGAACAACATGGAGCTAGTTCTCTTCTTCCACCTTTACATGGGTTCCGGGAATTGAACTCAGATAGCTAGGCTTGCCTGTCAAACAGCTTTAGCCACTAAGCCATCTTGCCATCCCCCTTGGCTTGGGACTTCTGACCTCCAGACTATAGGAAGACACATTTGGATTGCATTAAGCCAATAATTGTATGGTTGAGCAAGTCAGAAGAACAGGATCCAGTGACCCAGAAGGTGTTGGGGCAGTGTTCATCATCTAGATCAGCCACAGCCTAGACTGGGGGCCTTAGGCAGCAGAGGTTTCTGTTTTCATGATTGTGGAGGTTGGGAATCCTAGACCAAGGACTGACAGGATGAGGTTCTTCCATGACTTCCCCCCTTGGTTTGCGGACAGTTTTGCTTCTCCCCACGTGGTTGCTGCTCTGCACAGCTGCCACGGCAGGCTACCCTAATCTCTTCTGAAGGAGACACCGGTCGGACTGGACTAGGGCCCTTTCATCTGACCTCATTCTGACTGCATTTACCTCTGTAAAGAACCTGTGTCCCACATACTCATGTTCCAAGGTACGGGGGTTAG